CTTCCGATCGTCCTCTCAGGTTTCGGGTGATGCCGAGGAATCAAGGAGGATTCTCGTTGAAGCACTTGAACACTCACAACAACCTTCATCATTACTCTTACAGGTTTGTTAAATGTACTTACCCTTCTCTGTTCCTGTTTTTTTTTATTTCCTCTTCCCTTCTCTTCCTTTGGATCTGCAATGAACAAAACAAAACCTTATGAATCTGCAATGTGCAGGCATTGTTGCACTTTCAGACAATTCAACCAACAGAGAGACCAAGTGGGTATTTAGAGCCGCTTCTTGGAGAATTTATAATGCAAAGTGAAGATATACCCAAAACGTTTATAGGTCTGCTGAATGGGGAGAACTAATTATGCTTTGTATGGGGAAAAAAAGACTGAAGCTTTTTTCAGATTTGGTTTATAGAAGTATTCTTCCATAAGCGTCTCTAATAATGTGTAATGAAAACAATTAAAACACAGCTAACTAAGCCATTGATGAGATGTAAATAAAGACAAGGACTTGGGTTCCATTAGACAATGTCGGTGGTGGCAATGGCATTAATGTTTGGAGTCTGAATATTCAATGACGGTAAATGTAAGAACCTTTCTCTAGGGGATGAAAACCCATTTTGAATATCAATGAAAGTTACTCTTATATCATTTATGGGCTCGTACACATGTAAATTCTACCGTTTTTGTTTTTGGTAGCAGTAGAAAGATATGCAGTACATGTTTCAATGCACAAGTTGTTTCCAAAAGGAGACAAGACCAAATATATTAAAGATGAACACTTTATTATTTTCTAATTTTATTAATTCCCGTATCTCTATTTCGTAATGGGAACCCACCCAAAATTCACATCACATTCACATTCAGACATTATCTTCTTCTCCAAGTAATTAAGTAATTGATCTTTTCAATAAAGCAGTCCATTGTTTTCCATTGAAAATAAACTCTGTCCTGTAAGCGAAAGCATCAAACTTTTGTCTTCTCCTGAAGGGAAAAAAAAATATTTACTGTTTTTTTTTTTTCTCTTTTAAAACAAAACCCAGAAAAGAACACCCAAAGTTAATGATTTGGAACCCAACAAAACCATTGTTAATCACATGGGTTCTGTCTTAAAACCCTCAAGGCCCCGAGAAAAAACCCAAACTATCTAAAGAAAACCATTTCTTTTACAGAATTTCCGAATGATTTGAACACAAAAACTTCGAAAAAGTCGTGAGAAGATTCTCTCTGCCAGTCAATTATGAAACCCATCCGCCGATTCTTCATCTTCTTTGTCATCTTCCCGCTCTTTACGAAAGAGCAGTGCAGGCACTGGCTTATTCAGTGGACATTTGGTTGTGTTATTGCAAATTTGGTAAGTGCTGACATTGTTTGTTCTGAAGTTTTAAGGAACTAGCCGAAGTGAGGCCTCTGTCTGAGCTGAGTTCTGCGGAGGAAACTGCTGACTTTATTGATTCCGAGGAGGTGAAAAAATATGTTGCCATCAGAGAACACATGTACAAGAAAGCTAAAGAATTTGAATGTAAGATCATTGGCTTTGAAATGGCTATAAGGAGACCTTATTTTCATCCAAGGCCTCTGGATATCGAGGAGCGTGAGAATTGGCATAACTATCTGGATTTCATTGAAAACGAAGGTGACTTCAATAAGGTATCGCTCTTCCCCTTCTCTGCAACCTCTGCAGATTACACCAATTTGATCTTCAAAGGCTGCACCAGCCAGAAACTCCCCGACCCATCTGGGGTTTTCTCTCAGAACCTCGAGAATCTCTTCTCCTCCTTGGTCGCACAGTCCTCTCAGAGATCCTTCGCCACCACCACGACCACCGGAAATGACCAAAACGCCCTCGTGGGCCTCTTCCAGTGCCGCGGAGATCTCACCGCGTCGCAGTGCTACGACTGCGTCAGCAGAGTCCCGAAGCTCGTATCTAAACTCTGCGGCGCAGACAATGCGGCGGCGCGCGTCCAGCTCGCCGGATGTTACCTCCGGTACGAGGTCTCGGGTTTCCGACAGACCGACCCAACTGAGATGCTGTACCGGGTCTGCGGGAAGAGACACTCCGGCGATCCAGGGTTCGTCGGGAAAAGGGAATCGGCGTTCGGGATGGCGGAGAACGGCGTGAAAACCTCCGGCGGCGGAGGAGGAGGGTTCTACGCGGGAGAGTACGAGGAGGTATACGTGTTGGGTCAGTGCGAGGGTAGTTTGGGAAATTCAGAATGCGGGGAGTGTGTGAAAAGTGGGTTCGAGAAGGCGAAGAGTGAATGCGGAGATTCGATTTCTGGGCAGATTTATCTTCACAGGTGCTTCATCAGCTACAGCTATTACCCTCACGGCGTCCCAAACATTTCTTCCTTTTCAGGTAAAAATCATCCATCGGAATTCTTATTTTAAATCGGCGAAAATTAGATTTCTTTTTCGAAAAAAAAATTGATTTTTTTCGGATTTTGAAAGTGGATTGGTGGGGTTATTCCTTGCCAATTTTGATGCTTTTTGTTCTAATTTTGCTGGAGTTGGTGGGTTTTCCTTAAAATTCATCATGAATCTCGTGTAAGTATTTGCGTATTTGCATCTATACATATAGTGCGAATATATATATATATATATATATATATATATATATATATGTGTGAATATGGTGGAAAAGGAGAGTTCTTGGAGCGAAAGTTCCGATTTTTTAGATCTCCAACTGGTTTTCTTGGGAACTGGGAACCCAGGAAAAAAAAAGATAGCATTTTTTTAATGCTTAATGCAGAAGAAAGCTATGGATGACTGTTTTAGATAATTATTTTGCAACTAATCGTCGGATCTCCTTTCTTAATGCACTATTTTTTTTATCAAAACTATATTTTTAATATATGTTTTTTTTTGTGTGTTAGAATTACTTTTTTTATATTTCTTATAATGTTTTCCTGATCTGGGAAGGCACCGGAAATAAAAGTATTCAAACATATTGATTTGAAAACTGGAGTGCATTTTAATATTTTATTAGATATAAAATGGGGAGGTCTCATGTGTCAAATAGACATATAGACTTCTTTGGAATAAAAAAATGTTTCAATTTTTTTAATAAAAATATTTTGTATTTAAATATCAAATCCACTTGATTTTTTATGTTACTGATTGGGTTCCTAATCGCTGAGGTATTTTCTTTTATTTAGTTAATATAGTTTTATTATGCGAGCTTCATGTACTTTCACTTCAATCTTGAATATTTTCCATACAATCACTGATAGACAAGCAAACATTTCAAATCAAATTAGCTTTTAAACCTGTAGGGTTAATAAATAAATAAACTTTTAAGATTTCTTTTACATAGATTTAAACAAAAAAACCAAGATTTACAAACTTGCCCTTTAATCTTATCTCCATAATACCACAAACTTGAAGGAAAAAAAAACTCTCTTTATAAAGCAAGAAAAAAAAAATCCAAACTTTATAAAGCATTAGTTTCTTTTGAATCCTATCTACAAAAAAAATTTATGTATACGTGAGTGTTCCACTTATCTCCTCAATTATGTAAGATATGAACAATCTTATGAAAGAAGAACCGACCAAGCAATCACATGTCAACATATGAAATGATTTTAATTCATTGCAAACATAATTCCTTTTTTCCCCATTTTAAAAAAAATATTTTTTGTGTTGATTTGTCAAAAGACAATCTTTCTTTGTCTTTGAATATGTGAAACAGACGGTGGGAAGAAAGGGCATCAACACACGCAGAGAACGGTGGCTTTGGCGGTAGGAGGAGTTGCGGTTTTAGGGTTTGTAATCGTTTGTTTGATGTTTGTAAGATCTGTTTTCAGAAGGAAGAGCAAACGTGATGGTTATTGACTCATTTCCAATCCACAATCACTATATATATATATATATATATACATATCGATTTTCTCCAAAAACAAATAAAAAAATAGGAGTTAGGAAAAGAAAAATCGGTTGCTTTTTTTTGTCTTTTTCCTTTTATATATATATATAAAGATGGATGTGTGCATAGATTTGGATTCTCCAATAACGTTTTAATAAGATGAACCATGCCACAATTGAAAAGTGTAAGTGATCATGTAAAAAAATAAATGGACCGAACACAACAAAACTTTTGTTTCAATAAAATCTTTTGCTCATACAGAAGATGAGATCCAAGACCACAGGGACAAAAACAGACAACATAAGCATCAAACATAAACTAGCAGATTACCAACTAATGTTTCGCCTTTGCGAATATTGTCGGAAAGATCATCTATGAATTCGGATACTTCCCGAAGATGAAGGGTATGAAAACGATTAGCGACAGATACGTGCAACTCATGAACCTAGAAACCGGCTGAAATTCCTTCACCAAAACCCTAACAATCCAAAACAACTCACTCCAAAACCACACCTATCATATAAGAAAGAACAACAAAATCTGAAAGTTCGATAACAAACTTAATCTCAGCGGATCATGTAGTATAGGGTTCAGCCATGAAACTCAAGCAGATGAGATTGTGCCTATGAGCTCAAAAGGGAATAGGATTGTACCAAGAACAAACAAACTGTTAACTGTTAAGACCATCATCATTGAGCCATGGCATGGCATAGAGAAGTGGAACAAAACAAACTATATTGAATATCAGAACCCGTAATCATTCCTGAGAACCGAAAACACCAAAGACGCTAAAGAGATCATAAATCAGCTCAAAGATCATTCATTTCCAAATTAGCACAGGAATTAGCACCTTTAAATGGGAAGAGAAACCCTATCATATAAGCAAACAGGTTCAAGACTTTGAACTCATTATGAATCCAAAGAACTTTCATGACAAAAAAATAATAAAATCTCACTAATTCGAAGTCTAAGAAGATAGACGGTTCGATTGAACAATTACTTTTGCGCGCCGGTCGGCGGAGCTCCGAGGAGGCTCGCCTGCTGAAGCTCCAACTCGTTGAACTGCTGCTCACGATCCATCTCGATTATTAAGGGCACGACCAGGATCAGAAAAGTCGTTCCGGCGATCCACGCTGCTTTGCCGGTGCTCTTCAGCAGCTTCTTCGACACGTACACGGCGTCGCACGCCGCGCGTCTACCCTGGGACACGATCTCCGAGTTTGCGATCTTAACCAGGATGCTCGAATCTCCGCCTCCGGATTTTCCGCCTCCGATCTTCTTCGACGCCATCGATTCTGATCTGAGAGAAAGAGAGAGAATCGCTTCAAAGAGACGAAAGGCGAACAAGGGTTTTCTCGAAAGGACGGAAAGGGTTTTGGTTTATCTTTTTCCCACGGATTAAAAAAAATGTCCATTTTGTTGGCCCAATGGGCCGGTGAGACCCATTTGGTTAAATCTAACGCATAACGGCCCATATACTATTTTCAGAGAGAGAGAGAGAGAGAGAGAGAGAGAGAGAGAGAGAGAGAGAGGAGTCAGGAGTGGCCCAAGGTCTCGAGATTTGATTTTGCACGATTGGCTTTATATTGATAGAATGAGGAATTAGTGGCCAATCTATGAATTTGTCAAAAATTTTGAGAAACTATCGTAATTATAGGCTTTCAATAGTTGATCCATAGGAATCGAATAATGTGATTAGAAAGAATATGAATGACATATATATGTCATATATCATAGTGTTTGTTACAATGGATGACTGACTGGATTGAGATTCGCATGTTTATGATCTCTCTCTAGGGAGGAGAAAAAAATTAGTGGGTAAATATGTAAATATCCAAAACATATGGGTAGAAATCAGGAAGAAAAATAATACGATCGTCGTCTCCACCAAAAAAAAAAAAAAAGGAACAAAGAGCGCCTCCTAGTCCTTACCCTATCGCCTAAAGTCTCTCTCTCTCTCTCTCTCTCTCTCTCTCTTAGATCTAAATACCACTTTGTCAGAAAAGTGAAAACCCTACTTAAATCCGTGTCATTTCTCTATCTCTTTCTTCTTAGATCTGCTTCGCCGGAATACGATAGAGAAAGAGATTAGATTCCGCTTCCCGTCTCCTTCGCTTTCGGAGATTTTTTTTTTTTTAATTTGTATTGTTGTGTTTGTTTGGAGGGTTAAGTTCTGGGATTCACGGGTTTGTCTTCGTTGGATCCTGACCTGGGGAGTGGGGAGTGCTTTCCTAGGGTTTTTCTCACCAGATCTTCTCTTGTCCGCGCTCTTGCGTTGAGTTTAGAGCAGTAATGGCGTCTCCTTACCCCGGAGCAGTTCAGGCAACTCCCTGTCCCGATTAGTGGGTGTTTTCGGTGTGTTGATTGTACGGATTTTGACTGTTCTTACTCGGTGTTCTCTGTTCAGGTGGGTTCATACTTCGTGGGGCAGTACTATCAGGTGTTGCAGCAGCAACCGGACCTTGTTCACCAGTTCTACTCTGATGCTAGTAAAGTGGTACGCGTCGATGGCGACTCCAGCGAGACCGCCTCTACGATGCTGGTAACGCTTTCGTTCTTGTCTCCGAAATCATGTCTTCTTCTGGTTTTGGTTGTAGATTTGATTTTTCTTCCTCCGTGGGGTGAAGATCTGAGTACTTGAGATTTTGTTCGATGAATATCAGTTGTCAATTTGTTCGATGAACTTAAATCACTGGATTCAGTTTTCCTTTTCCCCTATAAGAGAATCTTAGGAATTAGCTCTCTGACATATGTGACTCAAGTGGGTCATTGAATGTATTGCTGGCGAATATATTCTCATACTTGGTATATTGAATGTATTTCTGGTTAACTGAAAGAACAATGAATGTCCTCACGACCCATCTTTCTTCTGGCCTTTGAGGATTTGAAAAATCGCCGGTTCTTATGTTTTTACTCAAGTTGTAGCCTTTAGTTCGCTGCTTGAAAAGATAAAAGTGAAATTCTTCTTTGTGTGCTAATACTAGTTGGTTAGTGAAATGAAATATGGTAAGGCATTTTTGGTTCGAGGAATATAGTTTGTCAATACTTTTGCGGGTCATTAACATTTTCTCTTGTTTTCCATTTTGACCCCAGCATATTCACAACATGGTCGTGTCGCTAAATTTTACTGCGATTGAAATCAAGACGATCAATTCTCTGGACTCTTGGGACGGAGGTGTTTTGGTGGTGGTTTCCGGCTCTGTGAAGACCAAGGAATTCAGCAACAGAAGGCATTTTGTGCAGACGTTTTTCCTCGCTCCTCAAGAAAAGGGTTATTTTGTTCTGAACGACATCTTTCAGTTCGTAGATGAAGGCACTGTATTTCATCATCAGCATCCTTATTTATCTGAAAGCAAACGAGAGGCTCAGCTGAATCCTTCGAGTGCAATTCCAGAACAGCAAGGTTCGTCTGTAAAGCTAAAAAAATTATTCACTGTTCATGCACTGTGATTGCTTAGCTCGGGAAGGAGCATCCTTTATGTTTTGGTTCAATTTACACTAAAGGAATGAACTGTTGGAAAAAGTGCTGAAGCCGTTTCTAATCGAATTTTTACCAAGTATCTTAACCCCCATAATTCATAAAAGAAAAGCCCCTTTTTTACTGTTAGATTTGATGAGGTCAGTCCTTCTCGATTAACTTTGTTTTGATAGCTATTTCACATTGATGTTGATGATTTCTCCAGTTCCTGACTACGTCTTGGAGCAAGAGGCAAGGGACTACGTGAACTCAGTCCATATCGAAGATGATCCAATTGACAAATACAGTCTTCCAGAGGAGCCTCATCAACCGCATGAAGAAGACATTGAGAATGAAGTTGTGGTTGAGGAAACTCCTGTGGAGGAGGAGGTATCTGCTTCACATCAAGTTTCGGTTGAGACGGTGCATGAACCTCCAGCAGCACCAGCAGAAATACCTGTCGGTGAAAAATCAAAGATGACATATGCATCCATTGTAAGCACCTATTCTTCTATTGTATCTCTCTCGTGTGTTTACTACTCTGTCTAGTCAATGGCTTGAAGAATGAATCTGAAGAAACGTTTTCCTGCGTGTTTGTTCTTTTCCTGTTTTTAAAATCTTGTGAATGAATTATCCAAGTAGTTTGTGTCAACGTACTCTCTTTTTGGTTAGAAGCTGATCCTTGACAGAAGGAATAGCGACAAATTACCAAGAACAATGATGATTGGTTACTTTGGTTTAATTTGACTGTGTCTGACACTTAAATTAGACAATGAGTGTATCAGAGTTGTGCTGATTTCCCTTTTGCGTAGTTACGAGTTGCAAGGGAGGCAGCTGCAGCGCCAACGGTTCCAACACAACCATCATATGACAAGAGCTCTCAAGCTACAAATGAGTGGGAACAATCATCGATCCCTCCGGCCCCGCAGGCTACACAACAGACAACTCTGTCTCATTCTGGTGGTCAGCAATCAAACACCGCTTTCCCGTATGTGCCTGACTATGGAGCCGAGGCTGAAGATGGCCCGGGATTTGAAGACTGTAAGTTATTTAAACTTCATTTAACTATGAGTGGCTGTACTTTGAAGTCATGAGTTGATTTTCTGTCTGCTTTGTTCCAGTTGAGTTCAAATCCGTATATGTCAGAAACTTGCCTTCCAACATAACTACTGCTGAGATCGAGGAAGAGTTTAAGAACTTTGGTGCTATCAAACCTGATGGTGTTTTCATTCGAAACCGCAAGGTGTGTATTCCTCTCCTTTGTTCCCATCTGCTGTTTTGCGCAAGTAATATCAGAAATCAACTTAACAATCTAACCACGCAGGATGTTGTTGGTGTGTGCTATGCTTTTGTCGAGTTTGAGGAGATGACAGCTGTCGAGAATGCTATCAAAGTATGAAAACCTTTACTATATGCTTTTCTCACTTTTTTTTGTCTCTTAGGATTTGATGCCCTTGTTTAGTTTCTGTGATGTTTGCATGCTTGCTCATTCCATTGTCTTGTTTTTTCCCAGGCCTCACCCATACTGTTGGCTGGAAGGCAAGTATACATTGAGGAACGCAGGCCCAACCCCAGCGGCATTCGTGGAGGAAGTATGTTTTGACTCACCGTACTAGTTGGAACGATTAACACATCTCCAACGAGCCATGATTCCGTTTGATCAAATATCAGATATCGCTTTCATCTTTCACAAGCCTACCATTTGATAACTTGACCCAACTTCTTGTGTTTTCCCGTTTGGGCAGGACGAGGACGAGGAAGAAGTGGCTACCCGACCGAGGCCACAAGAGGCCGGTTTGGTTCCCGGGTGGCAGGCAGAGGGAGCAACCAGGGCAGCGGAGATTACAGACCGAGAGGTAACGGTTATTACCGTGGTTCGCGGTAAAATATCTCGTTGAGGAGACAGAAGAGACAAAGGCCAATATCCAACTCAACTGAATTTCGATCACTTTTAAGTTATGTAGCGACCGAGAATATGATTGAGAGAAATCTTTGATTGTTTCCCGAACGTAGTTTGTATTTTCTTGAGGTGGCTTTTTTTTTGGTTAATATATATATTTGGGGTCTTAGATTTTGTATTGTTTAGATTTAGGATTTAGTTCTTCCCGCCTTGAGATTGGTTTTTGTTGTTCCAATTCAAGTGGGAGTTTGCGTTTTTTGTTGTGTTTTGGGTTGTTCTTGTTGTGCTACATAGACTCCATGGATATTGGTTTTCTGACAAAAAAAAAATATTTATTTTGAATTTATGTGAACACAAACCTTGATGTTGTCTTATGAAACACACATTTGTCCCAAAAAAGCTTTATGATACATCACATTCACATACTTAAGCACCCAACCTTTTGCCACAGTGGTCCAGTCCACACCACAGGGCGAAGCTTGCGCGTGCTCTGTACGCCCTTAACACGCGCGTGACATTTGTATGCCTTCAGTCTAACAGTTTGTCCGTATCTAGGCCACGGATCCGTTTTTTTTAAGGCTATTTCATGTTGCCCATGAACCAAATTTGACTAATCGATTTGGTTGTGCATAGCAAGAAGAACCGAGACAACAAGACCAATAACCGGAAACACTTGGAGACAAAACTCAAAATCTTTCTTAAACCATTTTTGTGTTCACTAGCTCTGAGTTCAACCACCACCAGCTTTGATCCATAAGGTTTTCAGATTATTGTGGTAAGCATAAAAAGACGGATACTTTTATTGCAAAAACAAAACCCTTCTTAAAGTGTGATCAGAACCAGTTACACCCAGAATCATCGCGTAAAGTTTTGTCACGTTTGACCGTGTGATATTCCCGGTTCTCCAGGAATCAGACCAACCCCCATTTGCCATGGTCCCATCATCCTTCATTGAACTCAGCCTGCTGCCCTCGGAGCTCGTCTTCACATTGTCCAAGTGCAGCAGCAGCTGCTGCAGGCTGGTCTCTCTTCAGGACGACCGGGGCAAGAACCGAGCAGTTATGCCCATTGTAGTTTCAGAAATCCGGTATCCCACTGGATCTTGAAGAATACTCTGTCACCAATTTCAGAAACATCGATGATTTGTCCTCTAGGAGCCGAGTAGGAGTATCAAACTCTGCCACTCTACCTGCAATTCCTCAATCCAAAACACAAAATTTCAGAGATGGGTCTGGAGAAATAAACTTGGTCCAGAGAGTAAGAGGGCAAACCCACCGTCGCTGAGTACTAAGACGAGATCACTGTCGATGACAGTTGGGATGCGATGAGCAATGGTGCAGACCGTGCAATCTTCAAACTCGGTTCTGATTATCTTCTGGATTAGATTGTCTGTGGCTGTGTCTACCGATGCCGTTGCTTCGTCAAGAACCAGTATTCTTGCCTGTTTCAGCAATGCCCGTCCAAGCGAAACCAGTTGCCTCTGGCCCACGCTCCAGTTATCTCCATTTTCCAGCACTGTGGGTTCATTGTTTATCCCAAGTCAGAAAACAGACTAAGACAAGGACACATATATATGTCCATTTGTTCACTTGGTGGTCAAGGAAAAAGATCAACAAACGTGTGTTCATTTGTTTATTAGATCAAGAAAATCTCCATCGTAATGAAGTGAAGACAGTTTTATCCGGTATGGTCCACGTGCTTAACTAAATTGCATTCCAGTTCTCAGTTCCAGAAGGTTACAGTTTCGGCTTTTTTTGACATATACAGATACAGCTACACTTACGAGGGCTCAGTATAAATAGTTGCACCAGATTTTTTCAGCAGTTAAAACGAAAGCCCTTCCTTACCTGGAGAGTCAAGTTTTTGGTCTTTTCCTCTAACAGTGTCTCTGAGCTGAGATTTATCGAGAGCCTGTAGCAAGCAATGGGATAAATATTCAGCATATGCTTCGATCGATGAAATAGTAATTTCAAAGAAACGAAAACAAAGCGAAGAAACATAAGACAACCTCCCAGATTTCCTTGTCTGAATGTTCGTCAAGAGGGTCGAGATTGCCTCGGATGGTTCCTTCAAATAATGTAGGATCCTGAGGTATGATACTAAGGCGGCTACGTAGATCATGAAGACCAATTTTTGAGATATCGATGTTGTCTATTATAATTCTTCCAGCCGTTGGCTCAATCAAACGAAACAAAGCCTGGATCAAAGTAGATTTGCCACTTCCCGTGCGCCCGACAATTCCAATCTTTTTACCACCCGGGAAAACGCAGTTCACCCCGTGGAGCACTGTTGGAAGATTTTCACCATAACGGACCTTCAAAAGAACGAACAACAAGAATCAGTCGAGATTTTCCATGATTATCAATTCATTACATGATGTGCAACATAAGTATGAAAAGTTTTAATATCATTTCATTAACTAAACCTGAAACCTAAAGCAGAATGGAACAGGCATAGAGAGGAATAGAGAGGAACATTGTATGAGTAGTTTTTTGCATCGTACCTTTAAATCAACCAGCTCGATAGTCCCCTTTTCGGGCCATGAGGAAGGCGGGCGGGAATCCTCAATGACTGCTGGAGCTTCTCCAAGAATCTGGCTGTACTGATAAATCCTTTCAATGGAGATAATTTTGTTCTCAAGCTTACAAAAGCTGAGTATCCACCGTGAAAGACGCCCATTCAAATTAAGGCCATATGTTACAGCAAGGCCTGCCATGCCTATACAAAAGAAGTAGCAAAATTACAAACTCTAATGGCTATAGTAATGGACTTTCAGAATGCTTGGAAGTCAATCGCAGGAAAAAAGTTAAGACATTTGGAGAAAAGGAATAAAATACTCACTTGGATCAATGGTGCCATGTGGAAAACTCACGAGTAAGACCATACAGAAAGCAAATATGAAAGTGGAAAGTAATTCCATGCGTAGACAAAGCCATTCAATAGCAGCAATGCTGCAGAAGAAGGGCCGAGCAAAGCAATCGAGAAGATACAGGTTTCTCTTCATGAATCTTTTTTCCTGGCCGAAGCCTCTTATTGTGGCTGAACCGGCTATTGACTCTCCAAAGAGATGGATTATAGGGGATTTCTGGATGCTTACAATCCTAACCAGTTCTCTCGAAGAAGCCATGTAGTATTTCTGCATTTGGATACATCAAATTTAGTACCATATCCTTTGATTTGTTCAAAAGAATCAAAACACAAGTAAAAACATAAGTGAGAAAAAGGGTTCTGTTTAGGAAAATAACTGGTTTAGTCATGAAGGGAAGGGCCAAGGATAAATATGTTAGAAACAGGATAGCACAAAGTATTAAGCACCTGCATCCAAAAGCAAGCAACCGCTACTGGGACAACAAGAAGGAAAACTTGCCAGGTAACGTTAGTCATTACACCGACAATTCCAAATAGTTGTATTGTTGTTGAAGCAAACCCACCAAGTCTGAAAGGAATGTCAAGATCCACAACACTTTGATCAATAGAAACCTGCATGTTCATAAATGGAGAGCACAACAGCTTAGGGTAATCTTGTTATAGTTTCTTACATCTCGAATAAACTTTTTTTATATAAAAGGAAACATACACGATTCAAGATTCTTCCAGCAGGAGTCGAATCAAAAAACGACATTGGTGCTCTGAATACACTTCTGAGCATATTTAAGAAGAGCTTCTGTGCAGCGGCTAAGCCAAAAGTCGCAACCAAAGTAGCTCGCACGAATATGAACCACGAGCTTCCAAAAGCAAGGGCCATGTAAACGAGCAAAAGGACCTTAGGATCAACTTTAGACTGATCACCTTCAGTTTGGGGATTTGCCCAGGCCATCCACCAATTACTAGCAATCTGAAGAAATTGGAATAAAGCCTGTGCCAAGATTATGAGAGGAATCAATAACCCTTTATATGCTGCACCCATGTATGACAAGTAAACCTTCATGCTGACTTTCCCCTTCACTCTTTC